AGAATGAAAAGAGAAAAAAAACCTTCTTCATATATCACGTTCACTTCAGGAGTTACAGATTCAGACCTGAAAAAGGTGTTCAAAAGTCTGCCTGTTTTTTCCATAACTACTAGTTAATTTGCAAGAGATCACCTCCCCCAACAAATAWTCTCTCTGTAAGAATAAATAGGGCAGTTTTAGTTTTAGGCACCATGGATGAGCATTTCACATTGCCTGAGTGAGCAGAAAATCCCTTCAATCCCCCTCAGACCTCTTTATTCAGTTTGCCTGATTTTATTTCTGCCTTCTTTATTTTGTTTTTATTTTTTTCGTGGCACAGAACGCAGTAGTATAATTTTCACAGAGAGAAAACCTTATAGATGTKCTTCCACAAATACCATGAATAGCAYTGGGGCATTATGATGATRCTCACTCCTCCTCTGTGTGAGWGGTCTCCAAACCTTTTTTTCATGCACCTCATCAGAAAAAACCTTTAGAGCAGTTTTGTATAYATATTTTTATATATGTATATATAGTTTTAGAATTATACACATGTACTACAGTACGTGTATATATAATATATACATTATAAAACATACACAAAAAATAAATTTAAAAAAGGATGATATAAATGGCAATAAACAACTAATATTTAAAAATCAAGCRTACAAAAATATTTTCTTCCTGCACTGCATTTTGCACTTCTCTCAGCATAAACCTATTTCAGTCTATCCTGAGGCATTGCCCACAATTTTACCTGAATAGGTTCCCTATTCCTCTTTGTTGAAAGGGAAACTTCTGTTGGTTCATATTCATGTAATCACCTCTGAGCCTGCCTTCAATAAGCCATAGCATAGTATTTCAGCCAATTTAGTGTGGGTTTGAATTTTTTTTCTTTTTTAATTAGGTCTGCAGATCTGTTTCTTACTTTTTTTTTCAAAGAAAAGTAATTCAGAAACTATTACGCTTTATTTTACAGCCAAATGAACCTCTGTCCTTCTCAGCATTTATCACTATTAATAATTTACAGAAATGCAGCTTATTTTACCTAGATGCCTGTGCTTAAATAAAAGTACATGTACAAGCTGGGTTTAAACTGTCAGTAAAACAGTGGGTGTAAAACTAAAAAAGAAAAAAAAAAAAAAAAAAAAAAAAAAAAAAAAAAAAAAAAAAAAAAAAAAAAAAAAAAAAAAAAAAAAAAAGATCAAAAAAATAAACAACCCACAAAAACCAAACCTGCACCTCGCTATATGAAATGCTTCAATTGCAGAAACTCATGAGGCGAAGGAGATGTGTGTAAGAAACAAAATCAGCAGCCCTGAATACTTCCTGTGCAGATAATTATCCCACAAAATTACGTGACTACCTGCCATAATACCTGTGTCACAGGCACTCCAGCACCATGAACAAAGACATGAAGTCTTTTCTCTTGCTGTTCTTGGAAACACCTCAATATTTTCCYATGAGGAAGATTTAAGGAATGGTAAAAACCCTGACCCGACAGATTTCCCAAGTGTAAAGTTTGAGAGAGGCAGGATCATCAGAGAAACACCCATTTTTAAAGCAGAACTGGCCAAATATGGGGTCACCATCACAGTACCTACTCTGGGTGTTGGGTTRCAAAAGTTCAGTTCACTCCCAGGTTTAAAACTGCTCAGCACCAAGAAGCTTCATTTTTTTTCAGAGCTGCATCAAGGGCTGGACAAAATGGGTATCCCAAATGGAAGGACAGAAACCCAACACAAACCAGTAGCTGGTTGCTTCAGCAGAGAATATTTTTTTCGGAAAAGGGTTTACACGTATCTGTTGAAGCCTGGGAGGAGGAAAACACTGTGGAAATATAGGAGTAGGATGAGGAGAGGCTGGAGGCTGTGTTCCTGAGGAAAAAAAAAAATCTGGAATATCTGTGCAAGAGTGCTGTGAGGGAAATTTGCATGTGCTCAGTATTTTTSATAGCTTGGCTCTATCTCCATGAAGGGAGCTCTGAGAAGAGTAAGACCCTACATGAGGCCTTAAGTGAATCATTATCATGTGAAAAAACAAACAAACAAACAAACCCAGGCACAGAGACTATTGACAAATACACCTGCTGCTGCTCCTCTTGGATAATTACAGATGCTTCATTACTCATGACAATGCTTTAGATTATCTTCACAAATTTCTGCCCAGATAAGGAAGTGCCACATGTGGAATATGGCAACGTGCACTGACACCCCTGTGTCTATGCAGAGCATTCAAGAAATACAGAGCAAATTCAATAAAGCAGAGTTGATCCCTATTGAAAAGGTTTACTGTTTATTTTTTTGTTTTAATGAGTTAGGCTATTAAACTAAACGAAGACAACATAGTGAGGAACCACAAATACAGGACAGCACATACATAAACTTCTCTTTATGATGCCTTTAAGCTKTTTTAAGTTACTCATTTTTTGTTTGCTCTGAGATGGAGAGGGAAAGAGTGAATTTCAAGGAGTGTGAAGTAGCGCAAGGTGGAGGGAAGAGAAGTTCATGTCTGATTTCTAAAGCTTGTAACTACTTGCAAGCTGTTATGTTCTAACTTCAGAGTAAAATAATATGTAGGGCCACCTTTGCAAGAGAGGCAGAACCACTGCAGAACTGACTGCAGGGTTCAGCTGATCTCCTGCTCTAGGACTGATGGATAGAGAATGCCTCTATTTCCCAGTGCTCCTTGGAAGAAATGAACTGAAATACATTCCTTGAAGCAGCAATAAGCAAAGACAGCACAAAACTCATGTCTGCACTGACTTCATCAAATGTCTTTTATATAAATTGAAAGCTATTTTGCCACTTTTACACAAGTCTTGGCTGAAAATTTAGTATATGCTTTGTACTCTTCAGATGGTGAGAAGATGATTTTTAGCCTGTGTTTTCTTGCAGGTTTACACTTGATGTTTCTTGCATGCAAATTGCAATGTCCTAAATGTAACCTGATTTTAATAATTTAGGAGTTTGGTTTTGTGCTTCCTTCTCCCAGCTTTGCCAAGGAYGAAATAAGCTGGCACACAAATCCATATTGTAAGTGACCAGTGACAAGTCTCTTGAAAACAAGAAGACTTGCAGCAGTAGTATCTGCTTACTATAATCACCACAGAAGAGACTTCTAAATTTCATTGAAAATAAGAGTTGTCTTTTAGGCAATCAGGTGCAGGAGATTACTCTCAGAACAACAACAAGGCATTTTGCAAATCTACGGAACTTTTTTTTTTTACTCTGATTCATGAGTGAACTAACTAAACARAGTCACTGCCTCCTACTTAGAAAAGGACACAGTGATTTCCAGGGTGAGCACTTACACCCACTTTGAGATGGAAGKAAGATAATTTTAGCCTGTTATTCCTCACAGGTTCACATTTACATGAGTGGCATACAAATCAGTAATCTAAGCCAGGGTGTTTAATACACCCTGATAATTTTTCAGAGTTTGTGATGGATGAATTRTATAATTCATAATTGTATAAGTATGTGCTTACCCATTCCATAAAACTAGTCAGCTAGAGTCCACTAGTGCCYTACAGGCAGTGAGGCAGCTGTATAAAACTGGATAATTTCCAGATATCACCATATCTACACGAGGCAGTGCCCACCCTCCATCCAGCTGCCAGTTATTTTGCAGCAGTTGGCTGCTTTTCCAGGCGCCTGGAAGTCTACAAGGTACCTTCTTCACAGTAGAACATACCCTGAGCACTGGGAGAGYGAATCTGAGTGCATCCAGAGTGCACTGGAGGGACTAACCTGCTGTGCACGCAGTTTGGAGCTGCTCTTTGCTCTTTATGGAGACACATGGATGCAATCTGTCTGCCCAGGGATGGAACACGCACCAGGAGGCGATTTCCTCAAAGCTTTGAGAATCCTGGAGGTGCATCTGGTCTGTGAACATGCAGGTGGGTGGGAGAGGAAGAAGAAAATGCATTTATTTTCAGAAGAGAGGAAGGATGATTAAGACCAATAGTGCAGGTTTCAGATTAGTATGCACTAACTAAGCTGTAATGAGCTCAGTAGTTTTAAAAATGAGAATTTCCATTTGATTTATGCAATGCTGAAAGGGCTGTCTGTGAGCCACAGAAAGATGAAGGAAATCAGAGCTAATTAAGAGAAGTGGGTGCTGTGTGTGAGAAAAGCTCAAGAGCCATGCAGGCTGTGCAGCCAGAAGGAGAAGGAACAAACCACTGCTCTGGAGTCCAGGACTGTGACTGATGGGGAAACTTACGTGGGGGATGGGAGCATCAATCAAGTTTCAAATTGCAGAAGCATTTATGACACACTGGAAAACTGTTCTKGAAGTTTCTGATACAATCCTAAAGTTGGGTGTGGAGAGTCCAGATCTGGGGGGATTGTTGGGGCTGCAGGGCAGGAGAGTGGCACTGACAGGGCAGCCAAGAACTGGGACTGATAAAGAACAACCAGCTACAGGGCAGAACAGATACAATAGTTTTAAATGTTTCTGCCTGTTTATATTCTTATCGAAGAATTACTTTCAACAGAAAACAGCAATCATAAAGAGACAAGTAAAGTAAAAAACTCCAAGCCTCAGAAAAGGCGAACTTGCCCTGACAAGCAATTTATACAAAATATTTTGAATAAAGGTAAAGATTGGCACACCTGAATTCACTGCTCTCAGACTTCTTATGAGCTGGTACAATCTCAAATTTCTTCGAACTACCAATATAGTGTCCCAAAAAAAAAAAAAAAAATCAGAATCTCAAAAACTATCTTCTCTCCACCCAAAAGAAAAGCACAACATGAAGCCGGAAAATGCAAAATGAAGATAGAATCGGTAAAACTATATTTGATTTTTAAAAGCCAGTGGCATTTATTGTGAAGCAGAGTTTTGATTGGTCAGATAGTCTTGTTGCCTATGCTATCGGTTAAAAAATGTAYGAATTACTTCGCCACAAAACCACTTTTCTGCTCCTCCCCGCTCTCCAGCTCCTCCTCTCACCAATGAAATGTTTTTCAAGACCTGGAAGGGAAGGGCAGGGGAAGCTCAGAGCCTCCCTCAGAGCGAGGATGACGACAGAAACAGAACTCCCCCAGGTGTCATCCATGTCCACAGCCACTTTCAACTAYGACTATTACTACGATGACCAGTGCCAGTACCAGCCCCTGCAGCACACGTCGACCTTCCTCCCAATCCTTTACTGCRCTGTGTTCCTCGTGGGCATCGTTGGCAACTCAATCCTGATCACGGCCTTGGTGTTTAAGCGGCGGGTCCAGAGGCTGATCGACATCTTCATCATCAACCTGGCYGCTTCTGACTTCATTTTCCTCATCACGCTGCCGCTCTGGGTGGACATGGAGGCGTCAGATGAGAGCTGGAGGGTGGGATCTTTCCTCTGTAAAGCCAGTTCCTACATCATCTCGGTCAACATGTACTGCAGCATCCTCCTCCTCACCTGCATGAGTGCAGATCGCTACCTGGCTATCATGCACCCCTCTGTGGCAAGGCAGATCAGAACGAGATCCTATTCCAAAGCGCTCTGCATCTGTGTCTGGTTATTATCCTGCTGCYTGGGGATGCCAACCCTGCTGTCCAGAGAGCTGAGGAAGCAGGATGGAAAGACTTACTGCACAGACAAAGCCATGACAGAATCCAAGCAGATCATGTCACTGATGCTTTTAATCGTGGCCTTCTTCCTCCCACTGTTGAGTATTTTAACCTTTTAYTGCTCCATCACCAAGAGACTCTGCGTGCACTATCAGAAGGCCGGGAAACGTGATAAGAAACTGAGAAAATCCATCAAGATTGTCTTCATTGTAGTGGCAGCTTTTGTTATCTCCTGGGTTCCTTACAATCTTTTCAAGCTTACAGTGATCCTTTTGGGACTCCTAAAGCAGCCTGACTGTTTTTCTGGCACGGTTGCCCGGCTGGGCATCAAGGTGAGCAGCCCGTTTGCCTTTGCCAATAGCTGTGCCAACCCTTTCATTTACTTTTGCTTTGACAGCTACATCCGCAGAGCCATGCTCCAGTGCCTGTGCCCACGGGTGAAAAACACCAGCAACAGCTCTGATACCCTGGACACCCACCTGAGCCATTCCTTATCCAATTTTGTGGCAGGGGAGTATGCTGCCAGGAAGAGGACGCGCTCTGTGTCCCTCTGACTGAGACTGGGACCGCGGAGGAAGGAATTTCTCCCTCCAAAAAATGACAGGAAAAGAAAAAAAGAGCAACAAAGACAGGTGCAAGTGTAATGCAGCCAGCACTTCAGGTGGGAGGGATGCTGTTTCCTTTTAAATGCAGGGAGCTGGAATAGAAAACCTTAACCACAAGGCTCCTTCACAGTGATTTCTGTGACAAAGCACGATCTAAATGCRAAACCATCGTACCAAGAAACAGCTGCAAATGTTTGTCCTGGAACCCCAGTAGAAGTGCTACAAACTACAGAAAAGAACCATGGGATTCAGGTCCAGGCCTCTCCGAGACAAGCTTTGAACTTAAATGTATGTAGCTTTTTTGTTCTGTGCAAGAAAAACAACATCAATGTTTCTTTTAGGTTCCTAGCTTGCCCACAAGTAATTCATAATGTCCTTGAACTGACCTGACCAATTCTGGTTTTTTGGAGGTTTTCTGAATTTAGAAATAATTTTAATGAATTTGTGCGTTACCAGTTCTCATAACTTGAGTCTTTAATTTAAGTTTCAGCTCCTTATTATGGCATTAAATCTTCAGTTGTAATCATAATAGTTAAAGTAAGCATTTAGCCCCTTTGATTTCAGAAAAAAAGGGCACTTGAATGCAGAGATACCAGGAGACAGGCAAAAGAAGTCCTGCATTCAACCTTTCTCTTAAAGAAAAGAAGGCCAACAAAAGCACATCTGTGCATTGAAAGACTTCTTTGAGGACCTGACACAATTTCTGACTGCTTTGGTCAGAAGAGTCATTGCCTCTTACTAAAGAAAAGGACACCGAGTTCTAGAGTGAATGGTTACACACATGCAAACCTGCTAAAAGGCTTCAAAGGGATGACAGCTGCATCATCTAACACAGTTCATGAAAAACAGAAATKAGTAAAGCCTGAAGTTCTGACTATTACTGTCTGGACAGAGGATAGAGACAGTCTYTCTCCCTGGACAATGGAAGTGTAATCCCTCTGATGTAACTGCAGCACGAATACATTCACTATGGCTTTTCTTTTCACACATCTATGATTTCTAAACATCTGTAAATGGAAAGAACTATTCCGAGTGTTAAAAATAAACCCTGGTATTTGCATTTTGTGTCAAACCTTGCAGCTGAGCTGTTCAATGTCCACAGAGAAACTAAAGCAGRGCTCCTCCAAGGGCACTCAAACCTAGAAATCAAGGTGTGCTCATCTTGCCCAGCTCCTGAGCAGGRGGAGAGCTGGCTCTGCAGGCTCAGGGGAGGCACAGGAGCCTTTCAGCAGTGGCTCTGTGGCACATGGGATTCACCCCTGAGCTACAAGAGGGGTATCACAGAGAAAACACACARGCTTTTTGCTCTCCCCTCCCTTCACTGTATGTGTTTCCTCCCTCATTACCTCTTCTAAAAGATTTTGTTTTTCTTTCTCCACATGACAAGCTTTCTCTCCCACCCCCATCTAACTGCCAAACTCCTTTTTCAGGTTCACAACTGCATGAAGAGCATCAACTGTTCCCAAACCTGCCAGTGTTTGAAAATAAGACCAGTGTCAGTTCAAATTTTAAAGTTATAAAGTTTTTAATTCATTTGCAGTGACGCTCAAAAATTGCTGTCTCTTCTCGATCTCTTCTTTCTGCCTTTACAGGTGTATAAAAAGACACCCTTTTTTTAGAAAAATTAGCCTAAGATTTGCATTTCAACTAAAATAYGTTTTTTCTTACAGAAAATATCAGTAGGTCAGACTTATTTCTTCAATCCCCACGCAAAGCAATACAGTACTTTGGAATCCAATCTACAAAACTTTGAATAGTTCTAGTTAGGGCTGCTGGATTCTTTCTTTTGTTTCTTTTTTTTWAATACTTCAWTACTTTTCATTTGGAAAAATTACTAAGGAAATCCACGAAGATCTCATGACTAAAGTTTTAGTTTCTGGAAAATAACAAATAAACTTGATAAATATTGCCATGCTTGAGGAGAATCATATATAAATGCCACAGCAAATGTTCCATTTGAAAAAAAAAATATATATATACAAGGCGCAACTAATTTAGCAAAGGAAGACTCTCCAGATTCTTTCAGACTTTTGTCCAAATGAGTGGACCTTAGTTTCTTGTGAACTGCATGTCATTTGACATTTTCATGACACAGTAAACATTTTTTTCAATTTTATCTTTTTTCAAAGAAAAGACAATTTGTGCTTGAACAGCTTCACTTCAGGAATTTTTACAATTCCATGTTAACATTCATTATTTGTTTGTAAGCACTAATATATCTTAAGATGATACCAAAAGTATTGTGATTGAAAGTATTTAATGTGGCAGGCTTGATTAATGTAACAGGRTGCCTATTTTATCTATGTTAAAATAATTTTAACAGTAAATTGTTTGGCTATGTAAAATGGAAATGGTGCAATTCWGATATGACACCTACCAAAGACCTTGGTAACTGATTTGGATTGGGATTTTTTTTTTTCCCACCAACTTTTATTCTTTTGAAATGACTGCAGCTAGGAAATATGGTTTGGCTTTTTATAATCTAACTTCTGCTTTCATTATCACAAAAAAGTTGCAAAGCCTTACTAGAAAATCTGTCAGTGYGTCTGGATGTGAACATCCCTCTGCCCATCCCACAAACCTTTTCATTTTTTTCTGAGATGATTTTGTATTGCCTTGGAATTCAATCAAGACATTTTGAGGTTTTTAATGAAAACAGCTACACCACCAGTACCAATCTAGAGGCGGGTGCACTTGTCTGAGGTGTGCACAATCAAAGTTGAAGTGCTTCTGCTTCTTGATATAAATCAGGGYCCTGTTAGATCCGACTCCTTTTGGACTCCTTTTTGACTTGAATGAATTGGCATTTTTCAGAAATAAAGTATTTCATCTCAACACAAAGAAAAATTGCACCCAGACCAGATGCTTACTTAAATAGACAAAGCATTCTTTCAACCTTAATTTCAGCACCAGATGTGTTAACACTGTGAACTCTACCACAGCTAAATGGAACTTTGAGTTGCAGAGGACTGAGTAGAAAGTCACACAGGGAATAGCTCCAGGCCCAGAATAAGCAGGATAAACTTGCTGCCCTCAAAAGAGATGAGTGTAGTCACTGCAGTGGGCTGAYCCTCCTCAAGTACTGCAGTGAAGATTGATTCTTGGAAGCCAAAAGGAAAACTTCCACTGTCTTAGACACATCCAGATTTCATCTGCAGCTTCTTGTCCTGGCTCTGCCAGACTGGTGGGATGAAAAGTGCCTCRCAGCACGTCTGGGTGAGCTGCAAAAAGAACATTTCCTGACTTTGTAAAGATGCTACAAAGATACATCTGTTGACTGCAGCACAGAAACCCTGAGATCGTTGACAATAGGTTTGGTTTTTCTCAGGTTTTTCTCAGATTTGCTTGCAAGGCATTTTGTAAAAAGAGATGTCAGCTCATGAAGCTAGCAGGAACTTGTGAGTGGATTTGCAAGCTGTGAGCACAAATCATTACGCATCCCAAAATTTCTAACTGAAAAGGCTGGACTCGGTACTCTTAAAGGTCTTTCCCAACCTAAATGATTCTATGATTCTTCTTTTGCTTAAAAGGTTCACCCAGTCAAGGAGCACATTGCAAGTGAGGAAAATCCATCCCCTAGGGCTGTTTACCAAATATGTCAGCATTCTGCATATTGACAGAGAGAGGGAGATCAGTTCATGAATAGGAACAAAKAAAGAGCCACCTAAATCCACAGCTGATGGAAACATGCACTGGTGATGCATGAAATGGTCTCAGAAGTAATTGCAGTGCCACCAAATGTCACACAAAAAAACAGAAAAGGCCCATGTTATCTCATTGAACATTTTAATGTTATGCCACAAAGCCTGCAATTAGTGCACACTAGGTCTCAATAAAAACCCAAGCAGCTGCTCAGTTTGCTGATTCAGGTGTTCAATACCCTGCTGGAGTCTTGCTGCAAGTCACAGGAGGCTTTGGAGTACTCCAGTCTCACTAAGTGACAGAAGGGATTTGACCCCAAACATCTGGGCAGATAAGACCTGATTTCATAATGAAATAAAAGAAGGCAAAATATGGGAGATGAGAAAGTAAGTGGATTGGAAATCAACAGCCTTTGAGAAGAAAGGCAGCCTTCCACCTCTTAGTTGGTAAACCCCTGCCAAAGGCCAGGCTGCTTGTATTGATACTTCTTTTAAACATGAATTGAATTGAAATGTAGGGGTTTTTTTCCCAATTCACTTTGCCTGAGCTTCTGTTTGCAGCAGCTTTGGAAATTGAGGCCGCTTTTCATGATTTGAGAGCACACAAAACTATCACTATCAATCATCTAAATAATTGTGACCAAAATACATATTTTCAAACTTCAAAACAGTTTTCTTATTAGTAAGAGACCACAATCTTGATCCCACTAAGTCTAGTAAGTAAACATACATCCTCTGCTGTTTACTTCTCACGTTTTCAAGATGYACATGGGATTTTACCACAATAGATCTCAAAAAAAGAAGAGATGAACGTTTCTCTTTACATTTTGCTGCTTTGGGAACTAGAGTAGGGCACAGGGAAGGAAAGGTGAGAATCCTACCTCAAAGAAAATGCATCCCACAAGATGAATTCAGAGGCTTTTGTTAGTATTARCTTCAGAGCCTTTACAAAGCACTGATACCCAAAAAGGGTGAATACTCACTTTCTAAACAGCAGATCCTTAAAAAGTAACGTGGATACAATAATAAAAAGAAATAACTGAATGCATCCCAAAGCTGCTGGTCAATTCTGAAAAAAAAAAACCAAAACCCTCTCTTTAACTGGGCAATTGAGTTCCCAGAATTGGATGCCCTCTTTCTTTCTACACTGATAAAACTAGTTAATATGAATATAAAAGAACAGCTGTTTCTCAAAGGATGCCCTTTTATTTACCCTCAATTTGAAGCAAAGAAAACGAGACTGTGAAACTGTGTGGCATCTGCTCAGAGAATGAAACTTGGTCAGTGGTTTTTAAATCCATCCATATTTTTAGTCTAGCTTTAAATCTGTCACGCAGAWTGTCCAGAAAGTCAGACTTTTAATGCAAAGAGCAATTTTTGCACTGAGAAACACCATGYATAGGAAAATACAGCACAAATGTTTGCCATATACTGTACCATGCACCTGACTTGACCACTCGAGTGACTTCTCTCTGTGCACTGCCTAAACAAGTGTGYAACTCCAACCACATTTCCCCTGACACTCGCTCCTCACCCCCTCCTCTAGGAACCACAGAAACTTCTACCTATGCCTCACACAGAAAAAAACAT